TACATCCACCCATTAAATGACAATAATCATTGGTGAGTTCGAGTCTCACCAACGCCTAGCGACCATATCAGTGTGCACTTAACGTTATAAAGTATCATGTTTCGTTCTTGTGGAAAGAGGTACAATGAAAATGAGTTATTTTGATGTTTTACCAAAAAATACACATTTAGCGAGTGTTACATTATTCTTTCTGTTCTAATGTATATATCATCTTGAAATGATGACGTCATTCTGAGGAGAAATAACTAGCTGATGATAATCCGAAAATTTCAAAAACAAGCGGACAAAAGGTTTAGAAACTATTGAAAATTAAACTTATTGTAGGATGCTGTAATCAGATGCATCTGCTAACTTGCATAATCACTATATAGTTTATGACAAAGTTGGTATTTATTTTTCAATGAACTAAATCAGTGTGTACATGTATAGATCCATTGTTAATTTAAAATGAGGACAGGGAGTTTAATTTATAAGAATGTTAGTATATAATCTTCAAAATTCAGAAAAAAGGGAGTTTTTATTAAAATTGCTTTAAAATTGTGCATCTCGCGGCATGTAATCTTACTACACTTCAGTTTAAGCCGCCTGTGCTATGCCCGCCTGTGCTATGCCCGCCACAAAAAGTAAAATCTAGCTAAACTATTTGAAAATTTGTGTTTTGTTTTAATGATAGAACACAGATTATCCCGATTCTTAACTTTTCTCAACGATTTCAGATGTCTGTTTGTTATCGTTCTTCACTTCCACGGTTCTTCTATAGAGGGCCGTGAATTGTGGTGCATCACGCCATCATCGGCGATTGTGATAAAATGTACATTCCACGAAGTTTGGTCTAAAAGATTAAGTTCTTCGGATTAAATGTGTGATTATCTTGCTTGAATTGTGGCAAATGATCTAAATGTGAGGTCCGATTAGGTCTCAGCAAATCTCAAAGTTACCGAGAGTAAGAGTTTCATATTATAGAAGAGAAAATGAGTTGATGCATTGTTCAATTTAGAATTAGAATGACCCGTCGTGACCGCCGTTAGAGTCATCTGAACCATTACTTAGCCTCGTTCGCAAGCTACGTTTTGGTGGAAGACCGTATTCGTTGTTGTCTTTAAACAGTTTCTCAGATGCTAGCATCTCTTGTACCCACTGCGTGTTATCAAATGTCGGTTTGCTGCCACCATAGTCAGAGGGTAGTATATCAACAGGTACGTGACTATGCAAACTGTCCATATCGTCACCATGAAAGATAACCTACAGAACAAGCACAGTGAGTATCTGAGAAGCCATCTTTTTGAGACATTATGATTTGATATCTGAAAGTTTTCACGAAACTAACAATTATGAAATACACGTCATACATTCACTCAGAATGTAGTATAGATTTAAATATTCAATCAATTTACTCGTTACAAAAGAGTGTATAAGTCATTAAATATTGATTTGATGAAGTACTCGGACAAATGAAGCATTACGTAATTTAAAACAGAAAAACAAATATCTGAACCGATATTTTGATTATTTGTTCAAATACGCCCACTACGTCAGAATCACGTATTTGTTTTAACTTACCCGTTTTTTTAGTTTGTCGTTAAGGAATGGTTTAAAGAACGCAAATGCTGCCTCAAACAACTTGGGTTCATTAACATAATGAGATGCTTTAAAACGCATGGGAAAAGCATTCTACAAATAGAAGAAGAACATTATAATGAGTAAAACACATGGTGACAATAATTACACAAAATATATTCACAATCGTAATATGGGATTGTATTGAAGCTGACATTACCTTACCGTGTAGCTTGGTGGCGACATTCACTCACTTGGCGCTTGGGAATAGAACCTTTCAGATTAGTTGGCAGATTTAATTTAATAATTTGTTTCATGATTAGACGGTATTGAAGGAGTCACCGACAATAATTAGTGCAAGTGGGGCTCAGGACAAAACTTGTACTTGTGATTTCATACGAAAAGCGCACTGGATTGTGGGAAAATCGATGTTTATTAACACAAATGTCGCACATGCGCGACACCACGACTACCGCCCTCTAAATTTAATTTATCGTCAGTGTGACAACATAATATGACAAAGATTTATTATTAAATATGCCAATGGAAATGTTTAAAGATTTTCTGAATGATGTGACAAGTCGGGGCAACCCTAGCCGGGATAAGTTAGTATAACCATCACTATGATTGGCTGAAATAAACTAGTCTCTGAGCGTTTGTCAATGGAGGGACATGTGGCAGGTCTTTGACAGAAATGATATCTTTGTTTTTAGTATGCCTGTGATGATTTGGAGTATACATACTAGAAACCGCCATATATACTTCGAGTAA